ATTTATGTCTTCAAATATGTGCGAGTGTGTCTAGGTGGTTGGGCCATGGCTGGGCCAGGACACCAGTCAGTGTCGTCGAGAAATATAACAGCTGTTAAAAGTGTCATTAAACGCCATACCTATGGCCAGACATTCTGCTTACCAGGCTATTTTCTTACGCACAATGCAATCTAAGCTAATATATTCATATATATAAAGGAATTAAATAAGAAGAGCTCAGGTAAAACGAATTTCAAATCAATATTTTCTAGTTAGAAATTTGTAACGAATTTGGGGACAAGAAATTTATGTTTATTAAACAAACAAATGATTATAAAGAACTGTCCTATAATGACCCAAATAATAATCAAATGTAGATGTACATTTTATATAATGCATTATTTTTATAATCTATAATTTGCAATGAACTGGGTTACACGAATTTATTGGCCAATTTTATTTCACTCATTCGACAAAAATTTTTAGTGAAATGTTGGGTTTTAATGCAGTGGTCTATACTATTGTAAATGAAGGCCTAATAGTTATACATTTTAACTTTCAAAAAAAATTTCATAAGTCTCAGTGCGAGCCAAAAGCAGTCTGCCATTTTTGTGATTATACATTCACTTCACTTGGAAGTGAAGAAAATATACTCTGGATCCTCGCTTTTGCCATACTGGCAAATTTCCGGCTTAAGCTCTGTACGTCCATCGTTAAATGATAGCTGAGGATATTTGTTGGTAAAGGGCATAGATTAGTCGTATACCATTATAAAATATTAAATTAAACTAATGTTAACAATGATCAATTTTATGAAAAAAAAAATGCTTGTTACATTAATTAATTGATTTTGTAAAAATATATTCAACTGTTCATTGTAAATGGAACCTTTTCGATTCAGAATATCAAAACAATATTTAAAAACGCTCACATATTATTGTAAAAAATATGATTTACAATTTTAAGTTACAATGATTCCACAATATTGATTGAGCACGATGCTGATGCCCTTTATCACGATGCTTTTGATCAGGAGACGCTATTTTAATTTTTTGTTTGTTTCTTCCTCGGAAGTCGCTGAGATACTTATAAACAAATGTTTGAGAGTTCAAACTATAAATGTACTTGTAGTAATACGATTCATTATATTTGCTTTTCGATATTTGCTAGCCTCTTTTTGCAATGCACCTAAAATTCTCTAGAGAATCAACATAGTAGTGAGCAATTTCTTTACTCCCTTTGTTATCAAATTTTATTGCCTGGCAGGTCAGATAAATAAATAATTAGAAAATTATAAATTTTTGCAATTAAAACTACAACTAAATTACAAATGCATTACATTTGCATGCACACACATACACACACGCACACACAAGTACACCTATACACACACATACACATGCATACACACACGTGTGGCACGCTTAACGAGCAAATAATAATGACTGCGGCCGCAGCTTTTGTAATAACAATAATGAAAAGCCATTTTCAGCATTTCTGCAGGCCAAAAGGCACTGCAGCGAGACTATAACAATTAATTAACAAATAAAATGTCAATTAATTTTACAAACACTGAAAAAATGGCAATAAAATTTACAACGCACTCACACGCACACTTACTGGTCATTGCACATACGCCACGTATTCAAAACAAACAAAAAGCTCCACGAAATTGTGAAAATGCACGCCCACAGAGACCAACAACAACAACAACAACAACAACTGCAGTAACAACAACAACAACCGTAACAATAACAACGAAAGCAATAACAACAAAAATGAGAGCAGAAAAACGGTGCAGTGGAAGAAAAAAAAAAGAATGCAGAAAAACTCAACGAGCGTTTTCTCATTTATTTATGATTTCAATTTCAATATTAAAGGTGTGTGCGTCCGAGTGTGTGTGTGTGTATGTGTGTGTGTGCCATATAGAAGGACGAAGCCAGCCAGTGGCGGCCAGCCAAGCGAGTCGAACAGACCGCGCACTTTAAATAAGTTGGCAGTGCGGCGGTGAAAGCATTTTTTGGCATTTTAAATATTTAATTGAATGATAAATAAATGTAAGCCATATTTATGCCAGCCATATAAATACACGGCGCACCCATTGCTGCGTGAGTGTGAGTGGGAGCGCAACAGATAGAGCGAGATGCAAGCAATAACTGTGCAAATTGTAATCAGCAACAACAAAAAGCAAGAAACAAGATGCAACTCCCATGGCAGCCAACACACAACCAACTTCCAGCTACCCTGAAGTACTCGTAATAGCATCTTATGTATATTCTTGAAAAATAATAAATTAAATACACATTAACATAAGTTTCAATTTAAAAAAAAAATATTAAGCTGATGAGGAAGATGTCGAAAAACTGACGTACAAAATTCTTTTAGCACACGCAAAATTTTTGAACAACATTTTCTTAGGAGAATCAATCTAACAGCCAAGTGCTTGTTCCAAAGACCGTTTAGGCAACTTCTGCATGCAACTGAGGGAAAGGTCTTAAGAATTTTGCATAAATCTAAAAACTTGTGAGTCTTACAAAGAGAATATGTATACATAGAATAATGTGAAATACAAACAAATTATTATTAAAATGCACCATCAAATTATGATTAAAATGTATTATTAGTTGTATTATTAAATATTACAAATTTCGAGTCTTTAAAGATAGAATAGTTTATAGTAGGAACATATTAGATGTGGCCAATAGGTATATTATCTAATTAATAATTTTCAGAAAGAGCATGGAAAAAATCAAAATACAAATAATAATACGATGTGTAGTGGAAGCAGTAGATCAATTCACACTTTTTACTAGCAGCTCTGATTCGGTATGGCATTTCTCGCAGCTCTATTTAAAATAGGTCAGTTATAAGCACACACCAGAATCGGGCATTAAATTGAATTGCTGAAGAAAGAAACTGAGGTGCGTATATAGTGCACATGACGATTTGTTTTATTTATATAACTGCTGTAAAGAGCATTGAATATCGCTTAACTTTGTAGTGTGTTCACATAAGGAACTCCCACTAAATGTGCGTTGTGTACAATTAAAACTACAAGTATGAATCGATTTTTTTTATTCAATAACATGGTTAGTTAATTGATGAAATTTATTAGGGACTACCCCTACACTAAGTATTTAATTTCAATTTATTTCATGCAATTCAAAAACAAATACATATCCAACAATATCAACATCTATCTGACTTGTGGGAAACTCAGATTTAAAGAACGATTTAGCAAGGAGGGGACATGAACACGCCACAACCTAAATATCTCTTTCTCTTCGCATGCTTAGTAAGAACATACAACAGAGCACATTCACACATACATATGCATAGATGTTGCTGCCCGTCACATTCTCGTGCAGAAATTTGGAATGCCTTTTCACAATTTGGTTGCAGGGCATAAAAAACAAGTCAAACCAATGACTGTGCAACGGTCATATAAATATTTTTACAACGCACACATGCCTCACATAGATACACACACACACACACACATCCGTACAAACACAGATGGCAACACAGCCACACACACATTTATGTATTTGCATACATTGTGCCGCCATTTTGTTGACTCCGTTTGGCTCTTTTTTCATTCAGTTGGCGCGGCCGCAGACAACGCAAATGCAATTTAATTATTACATTTGGCTGGCCAATGTTGTTGCTGTTGTTGCCGTTACATTTACTTATTTATTTAAACATTTATTTATTGTATTTGAGTTGCGTTTCATTTGTGCATAAACAAGCAAACACACATCATTTGGCCGCCAGCTCAATTCTACTTCAGCATCCAAACTCATTTGTAATCATTGCAGCGAGCTCGGAAAAAATAAAATGAAATTAAATTAAGGGAAATACAAGAAGAACATCAACAACAACAATGCTCTATGCTGGCTAAGCCCGATGAAGCCCGATTGTACTTACACATATATTTCTATATGCCGTCAACGCCTTTGCCCCCACACCAACCCCCAACCCCCACCCCGTCCATCGCCACAGACAGACTCGAATGCCTTCTGCTGCTTCCTGGCTTATGCCTTACGAATTTCTTTTATTACTTATATTTCCGTCTTTAATATTTTGCGCGTCGCTTGGCCGCTGACTGCTGCGTCGACGTCTCAGTTGCAAAACTAATAAAACTTTATCTTTTTTAATATCGACTGGTGGGCACTTTTGGGCTGCCTGGCTGGGGCAAAGGAATAATATTTTACAGCAACGCGTTGCTTTGTGTTGAAATTTTACTCAGAATAACTAGCAAAGTTCGAAATATGCTAAAGAGATATGCCGCATAACGGCGGCAGGGGGTGGGGGAGGGGCGGCGATAAAGTGTGGATGGGCGTTGAATGAGGGAACAGGGGATGGGGGCCCACCGAAGTCTAACACCATTGAAATGAATGACTTCTTCAGATATTGTTGCTGTGAGTTTTTCATTTCGGTCCCAAGCCAAAACCACCGTCATGCCAATGAGACGCACTTTCTTCCAGTACATAATTAGTAAAACGACAAAAGGGTGTGGTGTGAGAAGCGACGAGGAGGGGGGCTAACCAAAACACAAACAGTTTTATATTGGAACTAACAACACAATTGTCACAGTCCGGTCTTACCCCAGGTATGGGGTAATAATCAAAATATCTTGACAAAATATAGAATATATAGCTTAAACACTGCTCTAATGATCTGTTATTTCACAAATTCCAAGACAAAATTAGCTTTCTCCGCCGGTTTGTGTATAGGGCTATAGGGCTTTCAAGGGAAATCAGGACAGTGCGGAAGGAAGATGACTACCAACTTGCTTAGATGAGCTACAAATCTGAAGTGGGTGCCCAGAATTCCTGCCAATAGTAGTGTTGGAATTTGTAACTATGCCTCTGCTTGGCAGTGTTTTGTTACCCGAGCCTTCACCTTCCTCAGCAAACTGCGCCACATGTGATTTGCTATCGGGTCCTTAAACCAAGCCATGTTGTTCATCAGCTTATATACCCTCCCCAGTCCAGGTTGAAAATAACACGACTCAGTGCTAGTTGCTGCTCATTATTATACAAACTTTAATCGAGATATTGTTAGAGAAGAAAAAAAAAAGTCAGTAAGTAGAAATTACTAGTAGGTATTAGCCATGTCGTTGGTTGTTGTGATTGCAGAATCGGGAAGGCAAGGATTAACCGGACGATGCTGTGGTTGTAGTTGGTGGTGGACCCGATGGTGGAGGGCCTGGTGGTTGGCCCGGTCGTCTGCCCGGAGGTGGCGGGCCACTCTGGGGAAAACCACTCTAATTGATTGAGAGGAGAGACAAATATGATGAAATACTGTGTTAGTGGCCACTCCTTGGATCACTTACTGCCAGTACGCTGACAAGCAGCAACAACAAAAGGCTCAAAGCGTAGGTGAAGCGCATCTTTCGTCTACAGTCCGAATGACAACTGACCAAACGAGCGTGTGGCCTTGCTTTTATAGCGCCCGATGGAGCTAACATGGCGTGACAAATTGCTATAATCAAATGGTGGAAAATTAGTGTGAATTGAGTCTCATTTGGAGCCCCAATTGCAAGTTTTTGCGCCCTTTCTGTGATAATTAAATTTTGAAACCAATTCAATAGACTTAAATAGCAATATCTTCATTATACGAATCTAATTCACGTGATGTAATTTTGTGATACTTCAGCGATAGGTTTGCTGAACCTCATTCCGCACGTAGCCGTCACAAGCTTATGCTGGCGTGAATAAAGACATCAGCGTAATTATTTGAAGAAGCAAAAACACGAAACCGTATTGCAGTTAAGGTCAATCAAAGGTATTTGGGATAAAAAGTGAACTATTTAGTAGAAAACGGCACTAGTTACAATTTAAGCTGACAATCCGAAAATAGTTTAAGCAGGTTTCTGAACCAAGCAATAAATATGAGACTTTGAAAAACGTTGTATCATCAAGAACTAATGGATAGAGCTTGTTCGTAAGAGTCTGGGTTTTTGTCTGACTCTGTGTTTGCCGGACTGGCTTAAAGCCCATTTCAATTATATTAATTCTCCAAATAATTCTCTCCAGTCGAATAAATAAATGAAATATATTTAATTTATGCCTTATAGTCGTAAAACCCTACCTTCTGCGAATGCATTAACAGCCGCTTTACTTGAATCAGGACCTCTCAAAACAGATATTTTATAGATTTCCGTACATATACTTAATTCTCTCCAGTCGAATAAATAAATGAAAAATATTTATTTTATAAGTACCTTATACTCTTAATAACCTACCTACTTTCTTATCATAAATAAACTTGTAAAGCGAATGCCTTAACAGCAGCTTTACTTGAATCAGGACCTCTCAAAACAGGTTGTAAATGAGAATGGAAACAAGAACAAGAACTGCGACTCATGCAGTTCATTAAACAATTATAATTATAGAGCCAGGTAGGAAACCGCAGCAGAAACTGCTCAACAAAAACACGAGCAGCTGTTAGTTGCTTGCCTTGCTAGCTGCCAGGCTGGCTGGCTGGTTGGCTGGCTGACTGGCCTGGTGGCAACGTGGCGTATGAGTAATAATATTAATAAGCCGACTTATTTGGCCACCGCAAAACGCACGTAGACAATGTAAAACATCTCGACGTATGCGTAGTTTCCTTGTCGTTATTATTTTACGGCCAACTTTGCTTATCAACTTTCTTAAGGCGCCCAGCGAGGCCAGGCCAGGCTATGCCCGACCCAGCCCGGCCCAACAACAAGCGGCTCATCTTGGCCAAAGTTTAGGCAGCGCAGTCGTCGAGGACTTGAATTTATGTGCTTGAATTTCACACCTTATTGCGTCGTCGTCAGCGGTGGTGCCGATGCCGTTGGCAGTGGTGGCGCTTGTTATGGTGGCTATAACGGCAATGCCGCCTTAAAACAATTAGCAACTGCTCGACGGTGTTGGCAGCGCGACTTTTTCTGCTGCTATTGTTGTTGTTGTTGTTGTTGCTGTTTTGATGCCAAAAAACGCAACGCAACCCAATCCAACAAACCAGCTCATGTAAAAGTACAATAATAAGTATAAGTACAGCAGAAATTGCCTAAGCAGCACAAAGAAATATGAAACGAAACATGAAGGCATCGTAACTCAGCACCTTTCCTATCCTTTAAAATAATGTTAAAATATTACACGTTTAAGAATAAACGGGTGTAAGAATATATAGGAGAAGCAGCGCAGGATTGTCCCGATAATACAATCATTGTCTCAACATTGCCTATACATTTGTCTGTTGCATTTCTTCTCCTTCAAACTAGTCCTATCGCATAATATTTTATTTTTATTCAAGCACAATTTTAATCACAATTTTAATCACAATTTGTGTACAAATGTATATGAAAAGTTTATCGTCTACTCGGGGAATAAGCAATATAACCGATCGGATATGCAGCTTATAGCACACAAGAAGAAAAGTTGAACTCGATCAGGGGATTTTATTAAGGGAATTGTTACCATCCAAGCTATTTTTGGAGGGTGGCCTATGAGTATCATTCGAAAGGGGCTTTACGCCTTCCAAAAGTTGCTCTTCAACGAGCCCCACTGTTTTCATGCATTATTTGCTGCGCCATTAATGTTGCTGTTGTTGTTGTTGCCTTAATTGGTTACGCTTGTTCGATGGTTTGTGTCCTCGCTACCTTAGACTGAGACCTGAAGTGCTTACATATGTGCGTATGTGTTTATGAGTGTGTGTGTGTGTGTGTTGTTTGTAAGCTGGCGACTCAGGTTAACTCTGGCAGCCATGTTCCATGTTCCATGTGCCAAGCGCCATGTTTGTTGGCTTTGGCTTTACTTTGGCTCCAGAACGGCTCGACTCGGGCCGGCCCGGCTCGGTTGGGCTTGGCATGGCTTGCTTTATCCTGTCCTTTGCTATTTTGGCCGTGGATTAAGCCAACGCGATGCAGCGACTTAGCCAGGTCGGTGTTAACCTAGCCATAAAACTAAAATAATAGCCGCATAACATTTTATCTACCGCAGTAATAAATATTCAGTTAATTATAGCACAGCAACAACAACTACAACCATAAGTGGAGATGCTCTGAAACATGCGCCAGCACAAACAACAACAACAACTACTCGCATACTGTTGGCGGCGGTCATGTATGCAAATCTTATGTTGTTGTAGAGCATGTGACGAGCAAATGCCAAGCAAGCCATTAAGGAACATAGTTAGACAAATGTTGGATCAATTCGGGTCTCCAAAGAAAAGAGAGAGAACAGGAGATGAAAAGTATTTCTTTATTAAGTCAGAGTCGGAATGAAAACTGTTGGGCAATTCATCTTCTTCATCACAACATGATTATCAAATAATATCGATCTATAATTCAACGCTTTTTCTTCATTTGAAGACTTTATCGAAGATCAGATTTCAAATATTTCTTGAAATGATTTCATTGAACTGAAGAGAAGGGATAGGTGGATTATGGGGAAGAACAAATAAGCGAGTAATAAATACCAAGAATATATAAAATATATAAATGGGAGTGAGTTGGTGCTGTCATTCTTCATTCTTCTTTCGACTGCGTTAGCTCCAAAACGATCCCAATTATCAAAACAATGACAATAATAACAACAACCACATAGAAGAACACGCACATTCCCAAATTCAAGCTTTGCTATGGTTATCGCTCACGATATGCTTTGCAGTTTATGAATAAAATTGTATATGTATTTAGAAAGAGACATTCGACACACTTTTCAAAGCTAAAGGCAAAACAGAACAAAAAATACTCACATATGAAGCAATTGAAATAAAACTTGGATTTATTCAACAAAAATAATAATCTTCGTGGATTGCTTCTAAGTTCTTAAATTAGTTAACTTTTCTTCTAAAATCCAAAACCATGGATTTCTTAATTATCTTTGAGTTTCACAGTAAGAGAAAATATTTTTCGACTGCAGTTTAAGGAATCATATTAATAACTAACTCATAAAAAATTAAATAAAATGTATTGCCGGTTTGAAAACACAATTCGGCTTAATTTGGACGTATTTTGTCGATTCTTTTCGTTCGTCACTTTTTCGAAAGAAAACTAGACCATTGAAAAGAAACACAAAGATAGGCATGAGATCCGAAAACGAACCAAACAACTAATTTCGGTTCAATAATTAACTATTTTTAATTCCAATTAGAAAAATAAAATAAGCTGCAAAGAAAGCACGTTTCATATAATAAAACATTACTTAAAGTTATTGGAAAATGTATTAGGGATCTTTTTATGAAACTTAAATTTGTAATTGTTCATTAATATCCAAAAGAGATTTTCGTGATGTTTCCCTCAATTTTCCTTCCAATTCCAGTCAAAGTATAGCGGATTATTTCCATTTATACTCTTTCAAAGATTAGGTTCATTTTTGTAAGAGTTCAAATGGAAATTCAATCGATCACTATTTTAGGTTTTTGTTTTAATTTTTCTCCAAAAACTAGGAAACTAGGAGTTTTGTCAAAAGTTGTTTCTTCCAGTTCTATGCATGGCTATGGCTATGGGATGCTCTCCTATCTGCTTCTAGATACAAATTGCCACCGCGTCGAACCCTATTAGGAGGAAACCTCTCATGTTGTGCTCACCACAAAACATTCATCCAACGCATTTAGGTACCACGACCAGCAGAAACAACAATAACATCAGCAGCAACAGCAACAGCAACAAAAACAACAAAAGGAGCAGTCGAACACCCTCAGTTACCGCTCGACCATAACCGTTAAAATTTGTGTTTGTGGCGCTTGGAAATGTGCGGCCCAATGTTTCTCGATGCCATTCCCATTCCTATTCCCGTTGCCGTTCCCCCAAAAGCCAACAGCACATCATTGCCCGTCATCATCAGCGACGTAAACGTCATTGTGTGTGGGCTCCATTGTTGTTTTTGCTGCTGCTGTTGTTGTTTCTGCTGTACTTAGCGGTTATAATAATTAAAATGAGCAAAATAATTTCAGTTGAAAGCATCGATGAAAGGCTAAAATGCTCAATAAATGACAGGCCCCCACCGGCTCCCGCAAGTGCCGTAGTGACATGGAATAGGAATAGGGCTAGGGCTAGGGCTAGGGCCAGGGACAAGCGAGGCAGTAACAGTAACTCAACGCTTGTTGTACACACACACACACTACTCTACACACCCTGGGGGGCAATTAAAAATTGTTGCAAACAAAAACAAAAAACCGAGCCAAGAAGAAAAAGTTACCGAAACTTTTGCCAGCCACTTGAAGTTGACGCTGCGCCTTGTATCGATGACTTTGCCAGCTGCCATGTGATATCGATGGCGGCAAGCACTCCACACTCCGCACTTCACAGTCCACAGCCACAGCCAGCACCACTGCCGCACCCGAACCGCTCCCCAACCACGTTCTCTTCGTCATTTGCCAGGAGGGCGCGGCGTCGACATTGCGTAAAAGTGTTAACCAAAAGCATTTAAAA